TGAACTACAAGAGATTATTCTTTGATATAAAGGTCTTGAGCATCAAGATAAACCACTTAAACGAATTTCAGAATTACATGCATCATACCTCGCTCTTCAATATCCATTTGTTATGATATAAGATGAACCCAGATGGCATCCAGATATTCTACTGACAGGCAATAAGATTACTGGAAATATGGTATGGAATAACTAGACTATAGTTGATGACCTTCCTGGAGATATAGAGATACAAATTGACTTCTAGTAAAAGAATCCAATAACAGGACATGGAAGATCAAAATGAGTTATACTAGCATTATTTCATACCTACCATCTCCATATATGTTTCTCCAATCCTTCATATCTGTTTCTAGCAGGGAGACCTTTTCAAGAATAGTGTATTGATGCTTTTGCTTCCACTGAGTAAATTAATTTAAAATGAGTCTTCTCAAATCAAGAAACTCTTTGAAGAGATCAATGTCAAGGATTTGCTGACACCTTGGTTAATCAAGAAGATATTGACTTAACCAATCTCAGAAAGTGATTGATTCTTCCTTCAAGCTTTGCTAGATTACTAAGACAAATAATGGAATTATACCAAGATATAATGGCAATTGTATGTACCTTTGGAAAGCCTGATTTCTTTATTACCATGACCTGCAATCCTGTATTGCCAGAAATTAAGGATAACTTACTCTATGAACAGCTTGCAACAGATCATCCTAAGTTAGTGGCTCGAGGATTTCAATTAAAGCTCTCCAGTCTTATGAAAAACCTGATTGATAAGAGTGTCTTAGGAAAGGTGAAAAAACATATTTACGAAATTAAGTTTCAAAAGAGGGGGCTATCCCATACACATATATTAATAATGTTGAACTCAGTCAATATTATTCACATAGCAGCGCAAATTGACCTAGCAGTTTCTGCTGAGATCCCAGATAAGGATCTAGATCCTCAACTTTGGGAGACTGTTACAACCTGTATGCTTCATAGACCATGTGGTGAAGAAAACCATAATGCCTCCTGTATGGTCAATGGTAGGAGTCTTGATGGTTGTTGCTTAAAAGGCAATCCTAAAAGTTTTTTTAGAAAAGACAATATTGGGAGAAGATAGCTATTCTCACTATCGCTATAGGCAAGACAGAAGATATATAGAGAAAAGCAGAGTCCAGGCTGATGGGAGAATATCTATATTTCGCTATGACAATTGCTGTGTTATTCCTTATAACTCATTTCTTATCAACAGCTACAACTGTCATATTAATGTGGAAATATGTTCACCAATTGGGGAAGTAAAGTATTTATACAAATATGTACATAAGGGACCAGACTGTGCCAATTTCCTTATTGATGGTTTTTTGAATATTGATAAAGTCAGGGTGTATCTAGATACTCAGTACATTTCAGCACCAGAAGTAGAAAGTAGAATAGTGACTATTGGGAAACAAGATCCATTATGGAAGTCCTCCTATCCAACACCTTCAACTACACCTTCCTTACTAGCAATCAGTTTACTTTTCTGGAGAAAATGATCTTCAAGCAATTGTTAATCAAGCAGGCAGTAGAGATACTACCTTGACAGTATATTTAAAGGCAAATGTTAAACATCCCTTTACATAAGATATAATATATCAGGACTTCTCAACTTATTTTGTCTTTCAATATAAAGAACCAGAATAGGCTCCTTACAAACAGAGTACATCTATTAGGCAAATGAATTTCTGTACTCTAAAGTCAGGAGAGAGGTTTCTTGAAAGAGTTCTGCTGCTTTATACAAAGAGTACCACCAGCTTTGACTCCTTGAAAATAGTAAATGGCATACTCTATTCAACCTTTTTATAAGGCGTGTAATACTAAAGAACTACTGGCATTAAATGATGAGTAGAAAGAGGTACTTACAGATGGAACTATAATACTGACCAGGTTTCAACAACATCTTCTTTTTACTGTCATCTTGATAGACTGCAATTCAGTCAAACCACAAAAATTATGGGAAAGGTTCAAGAAGTCAATTACAGATGACTTTGTATATCAACTTATCCACAAACATGGTATTATGAACCTAACTATTGACCAAGGACTATCTCTTGATCTGAGTGTTATAGTAGAAATTATTCAACAAAGTGGCAAGGGACTCGAAGACTTTAGAATTTCAAAACCAACTTACCAATTTCAGTTGGTTAATGCAACTCAATACTCTAACATTTGCCATCAGAATAGCCAACAGATTCCAAACCCAGCAGATCTTAGACTTGAAGTACAAAGAGATCTTTTGAAAAATGCAATCCCCTTTAACAAATTGCTGTTAATACCATATTAGATCATATATCCCTTCATCATCTTGTACTCTTTTTATTGCATGAGCCTAGAGGTACTGGTAAATCCTTTATTGAGAATCTACTATTAAATACAATTTATAGGAAGAGGAACATTGCTATTGCAGTTGCATCAAGTGGGATTGCAGCAACCTTATTAAACTCTGAATGGACTGTGCATTTAACCTTCAAAATTCTTATCAATATTGATAAAGATTCCTATTGTAATATTCTGAAAAACTCACAGTTGGCATATTTGATTCAAAAGGCAAAGATATTGATCTGGAACAAAGCACCTATACAACACTGCCACAAATTTGAAGCAGTTGACAGAACGTTAAGGAATATTCATAACAGTCCATTACAGGTATTTAGCAGTTTGACAGTTCTTTTTACAGGAGATTTCAGATAGTGTTTACCAATAGTTCCTCATGGATCACGTAGACAGATTGTGGCCTCCTGTCTCAAAAGTTCTTACCTTTGGTCTTTGGTAATTCCCCTGCAAATTAAGGAAAACTATCATCTATTGTGTAGCCATATATTACCTGAATAATAAAAAGAGGTAACTGAATATACAGAGTTCATTCATGCAATTGGAGAAAAGAGATTTGAAGAATTTATAATTGATAAAATTGAATTACCAAGGACATCACAACTATGAAACAACAAGATGGAGGGATTTATTGAAAGTGTCTAGGGAAATATGAGATATGCAGTACCTACTTTCTAATATCTGGCAGAAC